GTTTAGGATGCAATTCCCCATCCCTCCTTCCCCCACTCCCCATTTCAGGGCCAGCACTTTAAATCAGCTCTTTCACTGGTGTGTTTGTAGCTCTTGGAAAATGAGTTCCTTGCTGTTAAACTAGATGGTAAGTGCTTGCTGGAAAAGAAGATGGGAACCTTGCAGTATCTTATCTGTTGATGTCGCAGCACCTGTTCCTGTGTGGGGTTAATTTTCTCTATGTAGGCCCTTGGGATATTCCCAAACATGACAAACTTGGAGCTTTCAGATCACTGGGATGAACCTTCCAACCAGGCAAAGAGGCAAACGTGACTGTTAACTAGAGTAGCAAAGATAATATGAAAGGCATCCTGATACATCCTTTGTCCATGCTTGCCATGGAGAAATGAAAGCCCAGGACTTTGTACAAAGAAGGATATTTGTGCTGATGAACTGATAAGTGCTCAGGAGAGCTGGTGCACTGACCAGCTTCATGCTCAGCATTTTCAAGATCACCAATCCCAAACTAAAGGTTTAATCCAAAGGTTTATTTGGCTCCAAGGGAACTTTTCCACACATATCTTCAGACTCAGATTTCTTTCTACAGTGAGAACTCAACTGCACCAGAGCCCAAGGCTTGGTATTTCTTTCTGCTGCCTATGTTGTGAAACTGTTTGCACAGATCCTGGTGTGTTTTTGCCCCATGTCAGCCACCACAGTCCCAGACAATACTTGGTCACATTTTAGAGCATAATACAGGAATGATTCCAGTGGGCAACTGGGTTGCACGCACTCTTGTTTAGAGATAAAAGAGTTTACTCATGGATGTGAGATGTGTCTTGCCAGCTGGACTCAGGAATAAATAATGTGTGCCACCCATTTGGTTACTAATAGACTCAGAATGATTTTTTTCATCAGCTGAAACCCTGTTCAGATGCCTCTTTTGTAAACCTGATGCTGATGAAAAGTGTTGCAATTAATCTTTTCACCCTCAAGTGTGTGATGAGCAATATTAAATTTTAAAAAAGTCTGGATGCTGCAGAGCAGTTGAGCAACACATTTCTCTACTCATGGTCATGGTTCTGACCCATGGTAAACAACATGATTCAACCTGAGTCCAGAAGACAGTAAACCAACATCCTAATGAGGGTTTTCAATGGCAAACGTTAATAACAGTGTTTGAATTATTGTGTTCAAGTCCCTCAAACCCACAGTGGTTTCCCAGCTTCCTCTACTCTTTAATAGTAACAAATAGCTATTAGGAACTCTGCCCTTGAAATATTTTTAGATGGGTTTTGGTATTTTAGTATATACATTTATACATTTTGGTGTAAGATGTTCACCTGCAGCAGTGGCAGGTCCTGACTGGAATCTCCTTCCTGCCCTGGGAAACCCAAGGAAAGGACTGCAGGAGAACAGAACTGTGCAGCTCCAGGGTAGGATGCTGAACACTTATGGCTCTGGTCTAACAGAGCTGACAGCTTTGCACTCAACTTGTGCTAATGCAGAAAGGTGGGAATGGAAAGAGAAAATGGCTTTGACACCTGGAACCCTAACTCAAAATACCTGTTTTGGTGTTAAAGGCCATGCCAAGGTCCTCAGGCACAAAGCACAGGGTACTGTCAGTACTGCCAGCTTCTGAAAGGTTCATGCTGTTCTTGAAGAGCTCACAGTGACTGAAGCAAAGAGAACATCGTGAGCTTTAAAGGAGTTGAGGGCACAGTGGCACATTGTTCTCTCCCTGGAGAATAACAGGGTAACTCCTTGGGAGTGGTGAATCAAATTAGTTCTTTTCAAAGCGTCACAACTTGGTTCAAGCACTGAAAAAGGACTGCACAAATGAGTTCTGTACTCGACAGTTAAATAAAAATGCACAGGGAAACCTCAGGATAGCAGCCAACCTTCCTTATAGGTAACCTACACATACAAGTGTTGGATTTGATAGAGACAAAGCTTGGGAATGTCGTTTTATCCCAAACAATGGAAGGAGTGGTTAAGTTCAACAGAGCAGAGAAATCACTTCCAGAAGTTATAAACAATCTGACAGAGAATTTGTGGTCCTGTGCCACATGAAGAACAAAGCCCCAGAGGATATGGGCAAATCTGAAGCACACTGTTCATAGCTCTCTGTCCTTTCCAGCCTTTCCAAATTATCCCAGAGCTTGATTAGATTGTCCATGGGAAAAAACAGAGGCTGACCAATCTTCTCAACATGAAGTTTCAATATTTACCTATATAAATATATAAAATATATAAATATATAAAATATATAAATATATATAATATATAAATATATATAATATAAAAAATATATTTTATCTATATAAATAGATAAAATATATATAAAATGTACCTAAATATATAAAAATATACCTAAATTCCTATATTTCCATGAAACAGGAAAGTTGTTTTACACAAAAAAGAACTTTGAAAAGGTTGCAGTAAGCGCAGGTCTGAGTATAAATTTATAAACAATAAGTGCATGGTTTTCTTTCAGATAGATGTCTGACTTTTTGCAATATATTGATGAATGTACAGGTTTTCTCATACATATGCCATCCTTCATATGCCATTTATAACTTCACAGCTCTTACAGTTTTACAGATCATGCGCTTGCCAGTTCTGATGCACAGATTAATGGAAAATCAACCACTTAGAAAAGAGGACAAATCAGGCACTAAGCATATAAACCCTGCCAAGGAAGAAGTCAGCTTGGGAGGAAAATTAGTTTGTTTGCTTTCCCCAAGTACCACAACTCTTGCATTGAATCGTGACAGCTTAAGTACCTTGTTTCTGATTATACGCTTAGACAAGGAGTGTTTCTGCAATTAATGAAGTACTTCTGTCAGGCACTAAATAAATTTAAACTCTGTCAATGGCATGTGTTGCTGGAAAGCCGCCAATTCAAATCTCTCCCAGGGACACAGATGCCTGCATTTCTCCAAACTTCTCCCTTAAATCTCCAAGATGATGCTCCCACTCTCACCCTGAAATCGCGGCGCACCCCTGCGCTCTGCTAAATGCACAAAACCCCCTTTGTTGAACGAGAGATTTTACGGGTCGTGCCAGGTGTTAACAGAGCTGTTTAACACCATCCACAAAGAGACACCTGCACGAGTGTGATGATGACAAATAAAACCAAGCCTTGGTAAAGAACAGCAGTTCCTCTAGGAAGGAGCGATCCCTTGGAGCATCCGGGGAGGATAATTCATTTATCAGGGGAGCATTGGGGCACTCTCCATCTCCAGGTACAGCTCCGAGCTGATGATCCCTGTGCCGAGGGCAATGTTCCAGGCACGGCTGAGCTGCTCTAACAGCTCGATGCTGCAAAAAGAAGTGACTTGTTATCCCTCTGTCCCTGGCAACACATCCCCCGCTTGCTCTGGAACCTTTCCTCTCTCGGGGTGAGTGGATTTGATTCACTAATCCAGGGAAAATGTTTTCCTGTTGTTGCTGGTTGTTTCCCTGCTGTTTTAGAAGGCTGGAACAGGTGCAGAATTAGAGGCAGGTGAGACTCTGTGATGAGAATTTAGGCTGGAGGAGGAGCAGGACCTCCCCATTTCAGCACAGTAAATTCTTGAGGAGCTCTTTAGTTGGACATCAATGCTTACAGAAGTAAAGAAAAAATGTACATCTAAATAATGAACATTTCAGTGTGCTTTTGATCCAGTGCTGCCAATCCCATGCAGGATAAAAGATCTGTACCATCCACTCTCACACAAACCCCAGCCTGGAGGGAGCTGCCCTGAGCAAACACGAGGAAATCACTAAAGATGGGAACAGATTCCAGCTACAAACAATTTGGGATACAAACTGAGCCTTAGACCACTCACATGAACTGCACAGAGGTGTTGCTCTGAAAATCCCAAATCCATAAACATTCCCCTGCCTGCCTTACCAGCAGCAGAGTCCTTTGAAGTCGTTATAGCCAGATTCCAAAATTTATTTTTTATCCAATATTCCAAATAATTAAAAAAAAATTAAATTCTTTCCTGATTTTATTAAGATTACTACTTCTCAACAATTTTAATATTTCCAGGGCTGAAAAGTTACCCAAAAATTATAAAGTATTAAAGCACATTTTATCACTACCTTACAATAATCCAGATGATATCAGAACTGGAAACAAATTTAAATATTGACTTAAATCAGGCAGACATGATTTTGTTTTCTGTCTGTAACTAATCAGACAGAGCAATACTTCTTTTCTCTTGGAGAAAAGAGTAAGGTTTTTAAAATAAATAATAATGGCAGCGCCACAGAACCAAGAAGAATTCAGATGCTGCTGACATCTCCAGCTTCTAGAAGTAGAAAGTTCTTCCAAAACTGTCAAATCTATTAATTCTCCATGTCACACTACAGAGACTCCTGTGAAATCCTGGATTTTAGCCAAAAGAGGAATTTTGTAGGTAAAATTAGGAAAGCAGAGTTTTTATATTTTCATAAGTTGTTTTTTTTTTAAAACTTGGAGTGGAAATCTGACTGAAATCAAAGTCTTCAAGCCTATTTCATGTCATATGCTTATGATTTCTATACAACATTCTGGTAAAGGTTTTTTGTCTGTTCATATTTCTGTTTCTTGAACATGAGGTCTCTCCTCAACTATAACAAAAAAAAAATTGTAAAAATAAATGAAGATGAGCAACTAAAAAGCCCTACACATGAACTGGCATGAAACAATATTCCAATTTTTTAACTTTAAGTACTATCAGAGTAGATAATAAAAGAACAAATATTACCATCCCAAAAAGCATGTAGGACATTTCCCCTTTGCAGGAAGAGTTCCAAACCCATCATCAGGTGTCACACTGGAATGGATGCATGGATCAGTGTCACCACTTTGGTGACAATGACCCACAAAACCCAAACATTTCTTCTATTTTTAGATTTATGTATTAAGTGAATATTTTTTCTGTCCTACAGAGACCAGTATTGAGGGATACAGATCTCACATTTTCATAATTTAATTTCTTTACTCCTTTTCTATGACTTTCTCTGGAAAAAAATGTAGTGATGCTGACCTTTATCATGGAGCAATTTCCTGCTTGGTGCTTTCATGTAAAAACAGACTGCTGGTGTGTAGACTGGAGAAACAGTTGTTGCATCTTGACAATCAATCACCCAAATTAAAATAAGCTAACTTCATTATTGTCTGAGAAAATAAGAAGTAATTAAAAATGAAGTATTTAGATAACAATTGTAATAAGTATCAAGAGCCTCTTATTTTCTCTCTACTGAGTTCTATCATAAAAGACAGAAACAGAGCAGATCAATTCTTTTTCCAAAACAATTTCAATCTAGTTTTATAATTAAATCAAAGATAGATTTCCCCATTAGCACAACTATTGCAGTTTCTGAGTAATTATGAATAATCAGCCAAGGGTATTCTTTACTGATTTTCCTTGTGCATCATTAATTATCTGAAGTGACAGGCCTAACATAATTTCTATCATGAATAAACAAGTAGAGGAAACGCAGGAAGTCGAGTACAAATAACAAGGAGATGGCCTCTCTTTGAAAATCAGAGCAATCCTGCAAGATGTTAATGGCTGTTCTATTTAAATGAAGCTGCAAGACATTAAAGCTTGTGATATGTTGCATATCATTAATTCTCAGTAAAAGTGTAGATAGAATTCATACTTAATTCAATGCAATTTTCTGCCAGTTAATGACCCTGAGAATCAAACATTCACAAATGTAAATTGGAGTTTTTCCATACCAATACTTTATGGGCTTTAAGAACTGGCTTTAACTGCGAGTAGAAAACTATACCTGAGCAATTTTCCCTTTTCTTGAGTGTGACCTGATTTTTATATTTGTAATATGATGCTCTCTTCTGATGATTTACTGTATTGCATGTGAATTTTAAAATATTTTTCAATTTGATGCTTTTTATTTAATGGATAGATAAGCACAAAAATTTGTTAATGTGGCTGGATTTCCTTTTTGAGTTTGTGATTCTTTTTGGTTGTTATTCCATTTCAACGCCAGAAATATGATTTAAGAATTCCCCCATGATAATTCCATGGTTTTGAAAAAATTAAGCAATATTTCCTTTTCTATATTTTTGAGGCTGTGACACCAAAAGAACAATTTCTCTCACCTTGTTTAGTGAGATGCTGATTGGGATTTTTAAAAATACTTTCTTTACTATATGTTGGAGTAGAGGTTGATGCATTTTTATAGCTTTTAGCAGCTTGTACATAGTCCTGGTGCTGATGGTGCTGGACATTAATCAGTGCTGCCAGATTCTGCTGGGGAGAAATTGGTCCTGGTTGCTTTGAAGGGTCAGGGCTCTGTGCTCTCTGCTGTGTTTCACAAACCTGCAGCAGCAATGAAGAGTGCAGGAAAACCACAACAATTTCTGAAAGCTTTTCAGAGCAGTTTCATTTGTGTCTGTGTGTCCTTTGGAAGGGAAAGGGACCTTGAAATCAACTTTTTCTAGTCCAAACCAGAAGATTCAATTCAATGACTGGCTGGAAACTTCAGCTTCACTCCTGAAAATCTGAGGTGACTTATCCCAAAATCCCAGTTATTCCAGTGTGCTGATGGCTGTATCACTGACTGCTACCAACCCAGCTGAGCAGCTCCTAGATCCAGCAGCGCTGCTTAAGTGCTGGAACATTTCCAAGAGTTCTGTTTGCACAGGAAATACCTTTGCTTACCAACCCGAGCAGCTCTGATAGCACTGGAACAGTGGAACAGTAAAAGGAGACAAAAGAATAAGCTGGGTAAGTCTCTGCAAGGCTTAGTAGTAAGAAGAATCAGATTGTTAAACTCATATAATGCTCTGTACAGCTGTACTGGAGATTTGGAAGCGCCACAATCTCCTTTACCATCAACATCCTATTTATACAAAATGGAAATTCTCTTTTGTGAATATGAGAGGGAGTTTGAAACACAACAGTACAAAAAGATCCACAAAACTGGACATGGCTGAACCCTTTCCTCTGCCTTAAATGTAGAATTATCCTTCTTTATGCTTCTCCAAGGTTAAAAGATTAGATGCTTTGCAAATTCTGAAGAGGTGATACTGTTAACAAGGTGATGATCATTTAAATTGTTTATGTATGATGCATATATGAAAATGTTGCCTAATCACTGTTAGAATTCCCATTCAGGAGCATCCTGTGCATGCCTTCCAAGAGGGATAAATTGATATGACTGAAGATAGTGATGCATTCATTAATATTTGCCAGTGGATAATTCCATCAGATAATTGTTCAGGAATAAATTCAATTGTTCACGTGATAAAGGTCCTGCAAACCATCTGCACAAGTGGATGATGAAATGAATCTCCTTAAGAAAATGCAGTTTAAACAGGTTTTATCTATAATGTTTTCTTCCTTTTAATTTTAAATAATGACTTTCTGTAAACATTGTTGTCCTCTGTAATGTTGAGTTCCTACTCCCAGTTATTTTGACCAAAATAATTGTTTGGGGCAACTTCTTTCCTAATCCTGAAATTTATTACAGGCTGCTGCACAGGCATATTACTGCATAAATATTTTTAATTGATAATGAGGAAAAAACTAATGTTCTATTAATATTTTTCATCATTCTTAACTAATAAGCCTCGTTCACAGAATTTCCTCTGTATTGCAAGCTTATTTCTGAAGCTTGCTGATTTTAGACAGTCAATATTTGAAAACATTAATCCTTTGAGACCTTGAATGTTATTCCTTTATAATTTCTGATGAGTTCTACAGTGAAACAGTTCTGAAAGAAGCCAAAGATCTTTCTACTGCACAATCCTTCCACCATACTGAAAAATTACTTGTACAACATGCTTGAATCTTTAATAACAGCTACAGTCAAGAATTGCCTGTTTTTTCTCCAGTGGCTGAAAAAAGAAACCTACAACTAGCTCAGCTGCAGCTTTTTATACTGTATCTACAGATCTAAATGTAGAGCAGTCAGCACACATTTCACATTTACATAGGGACCTTTAGAAAAGACTGATACTGCAGGCAAGCTGTAAGTGCAAAGCACACAAAGAGCTTTGAAAATTAAGCATTTAAAGTGTACAGCTCTCTGCAGGATCTGCCAGTTCTGTGTGGCATTGTTTTAGTTCCATTGCCATGAATGATAAATGACATTTCTTTTAAAATTCAGTATCTGCAAAAGCAAAGACCTGATGCAGATATCATTGTGTGGAAATGCCATAACACTGTAGTATTTGTAGTGGTTTAAAGCCCTGTGACAACCACAATATATTTCTGATTTCCTGCCAGTTTTTATGGCTTTAACCGTGCATTACCATTTACCTGGTTTTTATCATGGACTGATTTTATTATAAAAGGAAAATCTTCTGTTTTGGAGAATGCCTAAAATATTATTCCTTGCTATTTACTATCAATAATACAATCCTATTTTCACTGTCTAATACAAAATTAACAGAATAAAATTTTAAAAAGTTAAATTTCAAAAAGTGTTTGCTAAGAAATTTGACAACAATTTTCACCCACCAATTAGGGATTTACCAGTTTTTATGACATGAATGTGTCACATTTGTTCAGTGTCATATGGGATTAAAAATTCTCTTTTTCCTGTTTTCAGAACCTCTTTCAATTGCAAAAACTTGAACTTTTAAATGCAGACTGTTTCCTGTACAACACAACCAATGAGGAAAGAATATTTACAGGAAAAAAAAAACATAGGGAGAAGAGGCTGGAAAATCTTAAAGTCCTTTTTGTCAGTAGGTCAAGATTTGCCTCTTAGTGGAACAGTCATTGAGACCTGTTCAGAAAGCTCTTTAATTCCAGCTTCTTTGCTGCTGGCATATAATTACATCAAAGTAATTCCAAAGTAACAACCAAATGTAAACAGACAAGATGAAACAGTGTTAACCCCAACCATTATTTTATTTTCCTTTTGTGAAAACAAATAAACTTTCTTCCCTGTCTGAAGAAGTTTTGGAATAATAAAGAAATAAAAAATCAATGAAATATCCTAGATATTATAGTGAACAAGAAATGTAATCTGGATAATTATAAACTAAGGTACGGTATACATTAGTTTTTGCATATTTATGCTTATTCATATTTGGCTAAAAGTTTAATGATCTCATTTTACTTTTTAAATAGAGAGGCCTTCTGCCTTGCCATGGATGAAATACCATTGATACACTCCCTCTCAAGACCCAGGAGACATTTTCAGCCTTCTGTCAAATCCTTCATAATTTTTATCCATTAGCTATATAAACATTATAGCATAATATAATTAATTTGTCCCCACATTCTTCCAGTTTCTTTGATTTTCAAGCTCTAAACCAGCCTCCAAATCTAAAAAATAAGATATTCAAATTCTAAAGACTAAACTAAAAATGTGCTAAATGTGTAAAATTTTGAAAAGTGATGTAACAGCAACAACACTCAAACAAAACTAAACAAAACCAAACCGTCCTGTGCTTGAAACACATGTGCAGGGCTTCTCAGATTGTGCTGCTGAAAGCAAAATTGTTCATCATTTGCCAAATTGGAAAGTAAAGCAGTAAGTTTTCTTCTTTAGAAAGTGTATTTTTAAAAAATTAAATATTTTTGCAAGAAGTCACACTGAATATACAACATATATATTCATCTACATATTATATATATAATTCTTCACTGACAGATCTTTGTTTTCCTAAAATTTATTACCTCTAATAGAATAAATAACTTTCTTCTCTAGTGTCTGAAACACTCTTGTGCTGATGTTCCAGAAACACCCATGCAACCATTTAAAATAAACCTTTGGTGCAGCACAGAATCATCCTCAGGGGGGCCACATGAAAATAAAGCTTGATTTCTCTCTGTGAGGAGACACAATGTGTCACTACCAATCCTGCTATGCAATGCTGCTCTTTAATAATTTATTGGAGTCTCTGGGCTCTGGGTAAGCTGACAAATTGAATATGGAAGCACTGCTCAGGTGTTGAATAAACATGAGCTAAAGTATTTTTCCAAACAAACAAAACTGCTGCAAAAGAGTGGCCCGGGGCAGATTAGATTTATTTTTTTTTTGTCCAGTAATTTATTGACAGCAGCACTATTTTTGGTGCTAGTTTCTTGAGTAAATTAGATAAAATGCTACTTGAAACATGCCTATATTTATCAAATCACCCCTAGATTTCTTTTGTTCTACAGCTCCTCATTTAACCTGCAGAGGTGGATGAAGAACTGGGCTAATGGATCATCAAGACTGTTGGAACTTGTGACAAGGAAAATGTAAAAAAAAAGTTATAAAAAATGACCACCTTATCCATATTTTTCCACCTTTTGTCATCTCAGTGCATTTCTCTCTTTCCAGGCTTTTAGATTATGAGGAAAACCAGTGTTTGAAATTTTTGATAACTCTTTGAATGATCTTTCAGTGATCATTCACACTCTCACAATCTATTTATCTTTTAGCCATGCATTGATATAAATATATCTCAAAGCATTGCTGCTTAGTTTCCTCAAAATAAAACTTGATAAAGCTTTGATGAGGGAGATTTTGAAATCCAAGCCAGCAAATCGCTCCTTTTTGTGTATTTCCAGATGTGTGAGACAAGATATTCCTTTATCAGAGCCATGTTGGCTCTTCCCAAGAATATAATACTCATGTAGCCATTAAAAATATCACTTGTTGTAGTTTCTCTTACTTTATTAAGGCTTGCAGAACTCCCCTTCAGATCTCTGCTAGAATTCCTTGTTAAAAAATTGGATTTTTATTACTTCCTAGTCTCCCAAATCTGCTTGGGGCTCCTTCCCCTGCTCCTCCAGAAAGATGGGATAAGTACCACCTAACTCTGCAAATTTTCTGCTTATTTTCCCTGCTCATGGGCACTTCCACCTCCACCTTAAACACAAAATAATGCAAAGAAAGGTTTGGGGATGGGAACCTCTTCACTGCCTGTAAAGAACTCCTCTAGATCTTCCTTTTTGGGTTTTTTTGGGTTTTTTTTTTATTATGTTCTTGTATTTCCTAAGTACTAATTTAGTACTGGAATCAGACTCTCTTCTCTGGCACCTGCTTTTGGTACATCTGAAGAAATGTTTCTCATTTCTGTTGTTTGTAAAAATACAATTACACAGCCAGCACTGGAGCTCCTCATTGGCTCACCTGCTACAAAAGACACTCTGAAGAAAAGCAGTTTAATACAAAATATAACTATGAGATAAGGTTCCCAAATATACATAGCAAAAAATTCTCACAGATAAATGTTTGGCATATTTTTTATTCCCCTGAATACTTCCCATCTGCTCAATGAATGTGATGCACAGATCTGCAGTCACAGCTTAGAGACAACTCCAGGGAAAAGTTACTTAAAAAGGCTCCTGAGAATATCCAGTGCTTTCTTTGGATAAATGTGAACCAAAGTGTGTGGATTTTCAAGCATAAATAGCTCCTGAAGTGAGGGAATGTAAGAATTTCATTTGGAAGCAAAGGCAAAAAGGAAAAAAAACAGCTTTTTTTTTTTTTTTTACTGTTTTTTTCCTGTTTTTATGCATCACATTTGAACCACAGAGATTATGTGGATGGATCCTTTGAAAACTGAGATCTTGGAGGTGAGAGCAGTACTACCAAGGAGTTTTAATGAAATCTGTACTTTAATACTGAAATGAAAATGTTCATGCAGGAAATAGAACTCACATTTTAATGATATTAATTAATAACACTTAAAAATAATTTTGCTACTTTGAAAATTTTCAGAACTTTTCAATTTGTGAGTTAAAGGCAGAATCAGAAGGATCCATCCTAAGCAGAGCACAGTGGGGCAGACATGAAATTTCAGGGGTGGAAACACCACACCCTCATGGTGATCACCTACCACTTGTACAATAGCAACACTGGCCCATTGATTTACCTCTTCAGCTATTATTGCTAAAAATTGTCTCAGCTGGTAGAAATACTCTTCTTGAGCACAATTTTGTGTCTGTGAAGAGGAACAGAAACACAGCATTGGTAAAAAATTAGCAATAGTGTCTTTCTGGATTATACTGTCAGGGGGATGATTTTTAAAGACAGAATGAGAACAGTAGTGGATGAGTTTGAAGCTTTTTTCATAGTCTTAAGGTGTGCCAGGGGAGGTTTAGGTTGGACATGAGGAGGAATTCCTTCACAGAGAGGGTTGATTAGACACTGGAATGGGCTGCCCAGGGAGGCGGTGGAGGGAAGACTGGGGGTGGCACCCAGTGCCATGGTCTGTGGCCTCGGTGGTGTTCCTTGATAGGTTGGACTCAGTGATCTCAGAGTTTTTCCCAACCTAAAAAACTCTATGATTCAGCGATTTAATGACTCTGGGAATCCAGCGCCGCCGTCGCCCCTCACTGCAGGCCCCACTCCTCACTACAGGCCCCGCCCCTCACCACAGGCCACGCCCCTCACACCAGGCCCCGCCCCTCACACCAGGTCACGCCCCTCACAACAGGTCCCGCCCCTCACAACAGGTCCCGCCCCTCACTACA